TTCAACATTTTGTTGTTGTTGTAGTTGACTTTCGCAGCGCCCTCATAGCTCTGGAGTCATTTAATCCATTCCATCCTGTGGTAGTCGAGATTCAACATTGGCTGTTTCTTATCTCCTGCATATTTAAGACAGTGGAGTTCTACTGGATGCCTAGCCATATTGGTGTGTAATTACCTAAGTGTAATTACCTAAGTGTAGTTACAGGATGAGAGCTACGCTCGTGGTGTCCCGTCTTCCCAGCACTCTTTGTCACATAACGAATATTTATGAATTTACTGACTTCTTGAGGTTATCTTGAGATGATTTTGGGGCTTTTTTTTTTTTTTTTTAGTGTCCCCGCGGTCCAGTCCTCGACCAGGCCTCCACCCCCAGGAAGCAGCCCGTGACAGCTGACTAACACCCAGGTACCTATTTTACTGCTAGGTAACAGGGACATAGGGTGAAAGAAACTCTGCCCATTGTTTCTCGCCGGCGCCCGGGATCGAACCCGGGACCACAGGATCACAAGTCCAGCGTGCTGTCCGCTCGGCCAACCGGCTCCCGAAATATAAATAAGGAGTTCGAACTGGTGACCGCGTGAACACCAGGTCCGACCTCCCAGTCTGACCACGACGCTTCCTAAAAATATATGTACAGAAACCAGAGTTCTGCTGAGAAACCATCAGTACAATTCCTCGAGAACTAAACGTTTGACCATTTAGATATCACCAACTCAGAGGTACTGCCCTCTTCTATGTTAAACTGCCAACTCTGAACATTCGCCGCCACCACCTGCTGTTCTGAGTAAATTCCTCAATTGACGGAAAGCAGGATACCATCAATTAAGCGTCCCCATGTAATTCTATCCCCAATGATATGAAAGGGAGGGGTAAGCTCTTCGTTACACACAGAGATCACACTCATGTGATGCATCAAATGAACAAATCCACAAGGGCCGTGAACGAGGATTCGAACCTGCGTCCGGGAGCATCACAGATACTGCCTTAATCGACTGAGCTACAACAGGGTTAAAAAGAAAATCGAACTGGTGACCGCGTGAACACCGCGTCCGACCTGCCTGTCTGGCCACGACTCTTCCTTAATCTTTATCATCATCATCATCGGTCAGGATGAGGCTTTGGGATGGGACGGGTGGGGAAAGGAATGGTGCCCAACCACTTGTGGATGGTCGGGGATTGAACGCCGATCTGCATGAAGCGAGACCGTCGCTCTACCGTCCAATACACATACACAAGCCACTTAAATGAGCGTGTGGACGCTGCCGCTAAGGAGGCTATCCGCCCTTGTTCCATCTCCCGTGAAGGTGTTCCTTACTCCGACTTCCCAGTTATTCATTCCTCAATCCGTGTTCGTTGGCAGGTTACGTATTGGCCATACACGTTTAACTCACTGGCACTTAATGGAGCGCCGCCCCGTTCCTTATTGTTCAAACTGCTTTGTCCCTCTTATGATCGTGTCTGTCCTTGTTGAAAGTCCGGACATCCAGGACCGTGAGTGTGTCTTGCTTCCCGACCGTCCCTCGTGGTCACTTGTAACTCGATGGGACCCTTGGTGAATCAGATACTTTAGATATCATTCGCCTTATGCACTTTTGTTCACGTATTGGCATCCTAGGTGATATCTAACATCTTTTGAACATCGTGCAACTTTCACTGAGCTTCATAGTCTCCTCAGCTTGGTGCCTTCTTCTGATAATGACTTACTCGTCTAACCACGACAGTGTCCACAAGTTATCATATGGGCATCACTCTTTGTGTCTGTTGCAAAACTCAGTCTTACTCCTGGAGGAATTCCCTTAAATATTCCTTAAGGTGTTCCTTAAGGTGTTACTGAGGGTGTCTCTCTAAACAGTTTAAGGTACATTTAGAGATAGAATCGTGACGTTTAATGACGTCACGATTGGTTAAGCTAGCAGGCAGCTGGTATGGGAAGATTCACGGCCTATAAGTCTTAAATTATTTATTATATAATAGAATAGTAGATATTGCTCCACCCCGCAAGTTTTGGAGCACCTGTGGTCAACTACGAAATACCACGTGAGGTTGTAGTAGAGTGGCCTAGTGCGAGGACGACGAGATCATGTGAGGTTGTAGTAGAGTGGCCTAGTGCGAGGACGACGAGATCATGTGAGGTTGTAGTAGAGTGGCCTAGTGCGAGGACGACGAGATCATGTGAGGTTGTAGTAGAGTGACCTAGTGCGAGGACGACGAGATCATGTAAGGTTGAAGTAGAGTGGCCTAGCGCGAGTGTGGGAACCGACCTGTGAGATTTATATTTATTTAATTTATATGAATTTATATTTACGTTAATTTATATACTTCGATAGCAATTTGTATAATGATAAGTGGACTGTATTTCTGCAATAATCTCACAAATCGATCCTCTACACATTAGGGGGGTTTATATAAATTTAATTTATATATATGCAGCCAATCAAACTACAGTATTAGACTACATACATTGAAAAGGTTCCTTATCTTATTTGTACAGCAAGCTTTAGTCCACCAGGTATAACTAGGTTGTAGACGCCACATTTTCCCACTTTGAGGTAGCTTCCATCACCCTGGTAACTGATGCACAAAGCATGCTTCCTCGTCTTGACCTGTCAAAAGGGCGCTAACTGTAAAGCCAGAATCCTATATATGACAGGTATATCAGAGAAACACTGTACATGTAACAATAAAGACCTGGCTTAATCGATAGTTTGAGGCTACCACGGGTCTGACCTGGAAACCCTATGTAATGACATAATGGCCATAAATGAAAGATACATGGGTTTCGGAAAGAACACTTAACTTGAATTTGTTGACAGCGTGTTGAAGATGGTACACCTTTGGTTTCCATAACACTACGTCCAAGTAAAATTAACAGGAGCCGTATTTGCTCCCGTGAGCCTCTGGTCTAGTATCAACAATGGCAATGTCTAACACTCCATACTACTGACGCTACTGGCCGACATTGTCCAGATATAATAGGGGCCGAATTTGCTCCACGCGTCTCGGAGGTGACAACAACAATGGCTGCTCCTCCTTCCTCACTCTGACGCCTAGCTTACATTGTCCAGATGTCAATAAGTGATAGAAGGGTCACATTTACTCTACTTTAATACTGATAATTAAGTTAATTTATATGAGATGTTTTATGATGGTAAAGTCCAAAGACTAATGTATTTAAGAATAATTCCCAGCAGAATAGCTGGTGAATTTATAATGGTATGTGGTGATGATATCCCGTTTTCTTTAGACGGTAATTCCACTACAAGTTACGTTTTCTATGGGTAACTTGTTTATACAATACAGCTATTATCTGTATGATTATTAAATGGTGTCGGATTTTCCGACAGCGAGGATTACGAGATCATGTGTGGTTGATGTAGAGTGGCCTAGCGCGAGGACGACGATATCATGTGAGGTTGAAGTAGAGTGGCCTAGCGCGAGGATTACGAGATCATGTGAGGTTGAAGTAGAGTGGCCTAGCGCGAGGATTACGAGATCATGTGTAGTTGAAGTAGAGTGGCCTAGCGCGAGGATTACGAGATCATGTGAGGTTGAAGTAGAGTGGCCTAGCGCGAGGACGACGAGATCATGTGAGGTTGAAGTAGAGTGGCCTAGCGCGAGGACGACGAGATCGGGGACCAACCATTCAGACCTCTAAACTGAGTGTGAATGAGGATGTGAGTGTGAGGACATCATTTCTGTAAGTACGCTCTCATTATTTATTTGTTGAATTTTTGTTATTTCCATATTAATCGCTGATCAGCCAGAGATGTACTCTGCACTTCAGTGATCACCCACAACAGGTAGAGGCTTGAGCTAAGAGACAGACTTATGGCAAGTGATATTCTGTGTGGTACGACAATTGTTCCACCAATTGTGATTGGTTGTCTAACGAAAGTGTTAGTCAGGATATGTTCATAATGAACCACATGGTCATTCAGTGATGCGCCTCAGTGTCACTCTCATGTGATATTAACTTTAATAACACCATTCGCTAAGTAACTAAGCTCCTTGTGAAGTAATACCTAAGTTTTGCAAATAAATGTTGGCTGTTTTATATTTGTGTTAACGTAAAGCCCTTGTTGAGTACTGTAATGCTGATTAATGAAGTGCCCTCAGCACACGTTATGAGCCCCAGTTCTGACGATATTAAGCTTCTAGTCAAAAGAAATATCGATGAGGAGAACAGAACGGGAAAACCTTTAGAGTGCCTCTCCAGCGCCGAAGGATTTCCAGGACCAAAGTGCTGCTGGAGAGGTGGAAGTGCGTCAGTAGGGAACACAACACACAAGGACCATAACTTCCTTGTGTGCACGCTGATCCTGAACGCACTGTTCTAGTCTAGCTACGTCCGAGCTAACGTTGTTGAAGCAGTCGGCCATTGCAAAGTGGTGACGTTGCACGCAACTGCAGCCACGACGAAGCAAAAATGCACATTGATGTTATGGAAATAATGATTCCCTAAGCCAAAATTTACACAAGTATACGAGGCAGAGGTGTTTGAACCATCGGTAAGTATGCAACTGGTGGTGGCAAGTTGTGCTCAGGTTTAGCATTCAAAGTAAATTGATGATTTTGTATTGCAAGATCTTGATGAATACAGTATATTTTGTATTTTATTATGCTATTATACTTTTACATACATCATTATTGAAATACTATTATGCATGAGTGGCTACCATGTAACTATTGTTGTTATCGTGAAAAATTATTCAAAAAAATAATTCGTAATATAGGTTCAGGAAATATAATTTTTGCATTTCTAATGCTATTAGAATGCATAAACTGGAAAATTATCAATATAATTGCAATAGCTAAGCCAAAAGTGCAAGATAATATTTCAAGAAGGTGCACAGTTCAACAATTCCATCTTAAAGCAGAGTTATGGAATAGATGATAGCAATAAATAGAAAAAGCAAGAGTGAAGATACAGGTCACTACACTCAAGCAGATCTTTATATTAGCAAGCTAACTGCCATTCAAGATTGCGCTGCTGAGTGGCATCTAAACTAAGACGTTAGTGTAGGCACAAGAGACCCGAGTGAAGAGTATGGTGCCTGTCATCCTCACAACGCCAGTCATGGCCCCTATCATGTTAACAACGCCAGTCATGGCCCTTGTCATGTTAACAACTCTAGTCATGGCCCCTATCAGGCTCACAACGCCACTCATGGCGGCTGTCATGCTCACAACGCCAGTCATGGTACCTGTCATGCTCACAATGCCAGTTATAGCGCCTGTCATCCTCACAACGCCAGTCCTGGCGCCTGTCATCCTCACAATGCCAGTCTTGGCGCCTGTCATGCTCACAACGCCTGTCATGGTGCCTATCATCCTCACAACGCCATTCATGGCACCTGTCATGCTCACAACGCCAGTCATGGCGCCTGTCATGCTCACAACGCCAGTCACTGCGCCTGTCATTCTCACAACGCCAGTCATGACACATGTCATGCTCACAACATCAGTCATAACACATGTCCTGATCAAAATGCCAGTTATAGCGCCTGTCATGCTCACAATGCTATTCATGGCCCCTATCATCCTCACAACGCCAGGCATAGCCTTTGTCAGGCTCACAACGCCAGTTATAGCGCCTGTCATGCTCACAACGCCAGTCATGGCGCCTGTCATGCTCACAACGCCAGTCATGGCGCCTGTCATGCTCACAACGCCAGTCACGGCACCTGTCATGCTCACAACGCCAGTCATGGCACCTGTCATGCTCACAATGGCAGTCACGGCACCTGTCATGCTCACAACGCCAGTCACTGCACCTGTCATGCTCACAACGCCAGTCACGGCACCTGTCATGCTCACAACGCCAGTCATGGCACCTGTCATGCTCACAACGCCAGTCACGGCCCCTGTCATGCTCACAACGCCAGTCATGGCGCCTGTCATGCTCACAACGCCAGTCATGGCGCCTGTCATGCTCACATCGGCAATCATGGCACCTGTCATGCTACCAACGCAAGTCATAGCCGCTGTCATGCTTACAACGCCAGTCACGGCGCCTGTCATGCTCACGACGCCAGACCTGGCGCCTGTCATGCTCACAACGTCATTCATGGCACCTGTCATGCTCACAACGCCAGTCATGGCGCCTGTCATGCTCACAACGCAAATCACGGCACCTGTCATGCTCACAACGCCAGTCATGGCACCTGTCATGCTCATAACGCCAGTCATGGCACTTGTCATGCTCACAACGCCAGTCACGGCACCTGTCATGCTCACAACGCCAGTCATGGCACCTGTCATGCTCACAACGCCAGTCACGGCACCTGTCATGCTCACAACGCCAGTCACGGCACCTGTCATGCTCACAACGCCAGTCATGGCACCTGTCATGCTCACAACGCCAGTCACGGTCCCTGTCATGCTCACAACGCCAGTCACGGCACCTGTCATGCTCACAACGCCAGTCATGGCACCTGTCATGCTCACAACGCCAGTCACGGCACCTGTCATGCTCACAACGCCAGTCATGGCACCTGTCATTCTCACAACGCCAGTCACGGCACCTGTCATGCTCACAACGCCAGTCATGGCACCTGTCATGCTCACAACGCCAGTCATGGCACCTGTCATGCTCACAACGCCAGTCATGGCACCTGTCATGCTCACAACGCCAGTCATGGCACCTGTCATGCTCACAACGCCAGTCATGGCACCTGTCATGCTCACAACGCCAGTCATTGCGACTGTCATGCTCACAACGCCAGTCATGGCACCTGTCATTCTCACAACGCCAGTCATGGCACCTGTCATGCTCACAACGCCAGTCATTGCGTCTGTAATCCTCACCATCCGTATTTCTCCACAAGGCGATAAGTGCCCCCACATAAACTTGAACAAATAAACGTATGTAATATTATAAATATACTGTATACATATTATATATACATACATTTTAAATTATAAATATATTCATATAATATTATAACACCACAAACCCAACATGGAGGTGTGTGGAGGCTGCTTTAAGCCACTTCGGAAGGGTGTTGTAGGCATTGTATGTAACATTTGTAACATAAGATATCACCTGAGTTGTACAGGATTACCTATACAATATGCAAACCGGTAAGGTAACTACTGGATCTGTCAAAGTGACAGACAGATGTGGGAAAACATTACCAAACTAATGAATAACATTCCTGAAGTACACAGGCTACAATTCACACAAAAACTACCAGAAATATATGCAGAGTATATAAAGACAGCAACGAACTCTCAACAAAACCCAGGGACTGAGAATTTAGAGAGTCAAAGTAGCAATGTAGAAGGACATGGTGTCGAGGTACACAAAAATGAAGGCAATATTGTAGAGCAAACTGGTGATATGAATAAGGAGATAAAAAAATGAGAACACAAATGAGAAAGACGAAAGCAACAAAGAGAAAGTTAAGGGCAATACCGAGAATGAATGCAAAAACGAGAAAGTTGGAACAAAAAACAGAAAGTAGCCAAGTCATGCACGGGTACAAACAAGAATACAATTTCAGATGAAAATATTTGCAGGTATTATGCAAAAGGACAGTGCAGATATGGGCCCAGAGGCACGGAATGCACATTCATCCATCCACGGAAATGCCGAAACTGGTTTGGGAAAGGCAGATATCGTTTTGATACAGAGTGTAGATATCTTCACCCTAAGCTATGTAAACTCTCAGTTAATGAAAGAAAATGCTACGATCTTCATTGGCCTGATTTCCACGTCAGAGGTACACAGCGCTATATAAGAGAGGAAGTCCAATATAATAGCCCTGAAAATATTTTAGAGGCAGGCAGAAACAAACAGGCAGAAATGTTGCAGGAGTACGGATGGAGAGGGGGAAATGCCCCAGACTGGACGACGGTTCGTCATCAAGCCCACACATACTACACCCCCCAACTACACAGAGACTACCACACTCCCCAGTATAACTTCCAAAACTGGACAAACCATTGCCACAACAACACACCCTGGGTCAGGGTAGAGAGGAGGGAGAACTACCAAAACCTTCCAGAAGTGACACACAATATGGACAATCATTCATATTTGCAAACATTCAAAGTTTAAAGCCAAAGTCAAGAAATAAAGTTAAGTTCATAAATGGCCTCCTATTAGAGTCAAACTCAATATTTGGGGCATTCATGGAAACTCATACAAAAGATTACATGGATGGTGCAATCTGGATTCCAAATTATAATTTATATAGATGTGATAGAAAAACTAGGTCAAATGGAGGAGTAGGTCTGTATATTAAAGAGGACCTGGTATGCACAGAACTACTAAAATCAACTAATGAGGTGGTAGAGGTACTTGGAATTAAGGTAGAGAAACTAAACCTAATTATTATTCTAATATATAAACCGCCAGATACAACGGTTGAGGAATTCACAGAGCAGATGCACAAAATAGAGAACATACTTGATAACCTAGCAAACCCAGCTCCAGATATTATCTTCCTTAGAGATTTCAATTTACCGAGTCTAAGATGGAGAATGGCAAACACAAATATCATAGCAGGGAATGACCCGGGAAATAACCAACCACAGGTCAGAGAACTTTTGAGATTCTGTGACAAATTCTCGCTCAATCAACAGATTACAGAACCAACTAGGAACGAAAACACACTAGATTTGTTATTCACAAACAATGAGGAACTAATCAGAGACATTACAATCTCAGATACTACATACTCAGACCATAAGCTCATTGAAGTGCGAACTAGCATAAATAACGGTAGTAGGTCTAAGAGACCCAACAAGCGAGAAGGAGTATTCAATCAATTCAATTTCAACAATAAGAGGATCGACTAGGAAAAAATCTATGTAGACCTTGTAACTATTCAATGGGAGACGGTCTTAAGCGACAAAACTCCCACACAGGGAATAGCTCAACTGACAGCTGAAGCTTACAAGGTTTGCTTCAAGCACGTGCCTGTGAGGAGGGGCAGAAAGAGGACCACTCTAGAAAGAGAGCGCAGACGACTGTACAGGAGAAGGAAAAAAATAACGGAAATGCTTCGGCAGTCACAACTATCACAAGCAAGGAAAATAAACGTAAGCAGGGTGATCGAAGAAATAGAACAAACGTTGAAGTGATCATATGAGTCTGAGGAAAAGGAATTGGAACAGAAAGCTATGCAAGAGATAAAGAAAAATCCGAAATATTTTTTCACATACACAAAATCAAAAACCTCGACCAGTATTGGACCGTTAATTACAAATGAAGGTACGTTCACAGAGGACAACAAAGAGATTAGTGGAATTCTAAGAAGCCAGTATGAGGCTATGTTTAGCACACCAATAAACAACATGAAAGTTGATGACCCAGACATCTTCTTTATGAATGACCTTCAAGCTGCAGATAATATAACGGATATTACCACAAACTCGGAAGACTTTGAAAGAGAAATTGACAATATGCCCATGCACTCAGCTCCTGGGCCTGACTCATGGAATTCAATATTCATAAAGAAATGTAAAGTACCAGTAGCGAGAGCACTCAGCGTAATATGGAGAAAGAGCCTGGATACAGGGGAGATACCAGCAGCACTTAAATCTGCTGATATAGTTCCGTTGCACAAGGGGGAGTAAAGCCTTGAAAAAAAATTATAGGCCAGTTGCACTAACATCACACATAATAAAAGTGTTTGAAAGAGTGATTAGGAATCAAATTTCTAGTTTTATGGAAAACAATGAGCTGCACAACCCAGGACAACATAGATTTAGAGCGGGAAGATCCTGTCTGTCACAGTTACTCAACCACTATGACAAAATCACAGAAGCTCTAGAAGAAAAGCAAAATGCAGATGTTGTATACACAGACTTTGCAAAGGCGTTCGACAAAGGCGTTCCATGTGTGCTATCATGGGGTGATAGCACACAAAATGAGGTCAATGGGAATAAATGGAAAAGTAGGACGCTGGATACTCAATTTCCTGTCGAACAGAAAACAAAGAGTAACAGTCAATCAAATAAAATCGAGTCCAAGCGAAATTAAAAGCTCTGTACCTTAAGGTACAGTCTTTGCACCACTGCTGTTCCTTATTTTCATATCAGATATAGACATAAATACACGTCACAGCTTCGTGTCATCCTTCGCAGATGATACAAAAATCAGCATGGAAAATTACCTCCGCTGAAGACATCGAAAAATTACAAGCAGATGTCAACAAAGTTTTCGATTGGGCAGCAGAAAATAACATGATGTTTAACAGTGATCAATTTCAGGTACTCAGGTACGGCAAAAACGAGGATCTGAAACATAATACAGGGTACAAAATACAATCGAATCCTCCCAAAGTAGAAAAACAGCATGTCAAAGATTTGGGAATAATGAAGTCCGACGATCTAACGTTTAGGGAGCATAACCAAGCAAATATTGCGTCAGCCAGAAAAATGATAGGATGGATTACGAGAACATTCAAATCCAGGGATCCCATCACAATGGTTGTACTCTTCAAGTCACTTCTGTTGTCCCGTCTTGAGTACTGCTCAGTACTCACTTCTCCCTTCAGAGCAGTAGAGATTGCTGAAATAGAGTGAATACAGAGAACATATACGACACGCATAGACGAGATAAAACATCTAAATTATTGGGATCGTCTCAAAGCTCTCCAAATGTACTCTCTAGAAAGGAGACGAGAGAGATACCAAATAATATACACATGGAAAATACTGGAGGGGCCAGGTCCCAAATCTACACAGTAAAATAACAACGTACTGGAGTGAACGACATGGAAGAAAATGCAAGATTGAACCTGTGAAGAGCAGAGGTGCCATAGGCACAATCAGAGAGCACTATAAACATCAGGGGTCCGCGGTTGTTCAACGTCCTCCCAGCGACTATAAGAAATATTGCCGGAACAACCGTGGACATCTTCAAGAGAAAATTGGACTATTTTCTAAGAGAAGTTCCGGATCAACCGAGATGTGGTGGGTATGTGGGCCTGCGGGCCGCTCCAAGCAACAGCCTGGTGGACCAAACTCTCACAAGTCAAGCCTGGCCTCGGGCCGGGCTTGGGGAGTAGAACAACTCCCAGAACAGAAACAAGCAGGTATCAAGCACAACGCCAGTCACGGTCCCTGTCATGTTCACAACGCCAGTCACGGTCCCTGTCATGTTCACAACGCCAGTCACGGTCCCTGTCATGTTCACAACGCCAGTCACGGTCCCTGTCATGTTCACAACGCCAGTCACGGTCCCTGTCATGTTCACAACGCCAGTCACGGTCCCTGTCATGTTCACAACGCCAGTCACGGTCCCTGTCATGTTCACAACGCCAGTCACGGTCCCTGTCATGTTCACAACGCCAGTCACGGTCCCTGTCATGTTCACAACGCCAGTCACGGTCCCTGTCATGTTCACAACGCCAGTCACGGTCCCTGTCATGTTCACAACGCCAGTCACGGTCCCTGTCATGTTCACAACGCCAGTCACGGTCCCTGTCATGTTCACAACGCCAGTCACGGTCCCTGTCATGTTCACAACGCCAGACACGGTCCCTGTCATGTTCACAACGCCAGTCCCGTTCCCTGTCATGTTCACAACGCCAGTCACGGTCCCTGTCATGTTCACAACGTCAGTCACGTTCCCTGTCATGTTCACAACGCCAGTCACGGTCCCTGTCATGTTCACAACGCCAGTCACGGACCCTGTCATGTTCACAACGCCAGTCACGGACCCTGTCATGTTCACAACGCTAGTCACGGTCCCTGTCATGCTCACAACGCCAGTCATGATCCCTGTCATGCTCACAACGCCAGTCATGGCCCCTGTAATGCTCACAACGCCAGTC